CTTTTCTGATGGTACAGGCAGAGTTGTCGGTAAACAAAATGTCAGACCTACAAGAACATTTGGACTACATGAAGATTGTTTCAACTTTGAGGGCATTTAAACTGTCTGAACCGCAGCAATCAATATTGCTTTCAGCAGTACAAGCTCACTTAAGCAGATCCCGTTATCTTTTAAATGAAAGTGCTCAGGCTGTGTTTAATTAATTCTTGGTACTGAGAATGGCCTTGTCTCAATCAAGAACTGATAGCTTAGCTAGTGTGTTATTTTAAGTTGTCTCTCCCCAAAATAGTACTTGGATCGCCTTCAGGTATTTGAAATAGCCCTTTAGCTAATTCCATCCCTTCTGTCTACTGGCTGCCTTGGTGACAGGTTTACCTTTCTTATCCCACCACAACCCAAACCTGGATAAGCAGCAGAAAACGGAAGGATGGATGGATAATTCCATCCCTGTGCATGTGATTACTAACAGCTACCGAGGCCAGATTAGTGCTGCCATAACTTGGGGAGTTCCCAGGGTCAGCCCCAGGTCACCAGAATGTGGAGGGATGAGGGTTTAGGACCTCAGCATTATACACTAGATTCAATGGGTAGCTGCAACCTACAAATGCGATTAGTTCAGCAGGCCTCCTACCGCCAGCACTGTTAACATTGCGTGTATGTGGGTTTATAAACCCCCCCCAGGAATTAAGCATGTCTTGAGGACGTGTTTCTAAGCAAACACAGCATCAAGAAGCAGAAATGTAGAGCATGCACCTGCGTCCATTACTCACGCCTTGTATTCAGCTGTTTTGTTTTATCCCTACAGTAGGTCTTCAGTCCATATTAGGCCACACCATAGGAAAAAGATGCATGTTTGTACTAAAAAAAGTTACATCCTTTTTTGTCCTGCAAGTTGGGTAGATACAAAAACAAAATAAACCATAGAGTTAAATTTTAAAGCATTTAATAATATCAGTCAATTAAGTGCCGAAGGCCTGCGAATTAAATGAAAATCACAATTATTTTTGCAAATGTGTATTGAAATCCTGATTAGGTTTCATCACTACTGATCAATCTTTGGAAACTTCTGGAAAAATTCTGCTGTACATTGCCAGAAAACTGCCTTAAATCACATTTAAGCAGTAAACCTAATGTACATCTATGTGAAATTTGTGTCTTATTAAAGCTATATATGACTACAATTTAACCCAATAGTAATAATAATAATAATAATCATAATAATCATAATAATGCTGCCACAGCATTCAAACACATAAAAGGATTTATCCTTCCCTAGAAATTGCAGTTGGGTTATATTTGCATGTTGCATGTTGCATGTGCGGAGACTAAAGTGTTCTTGAAAGAAGCACCAGTGACTGGTCATACAGTGGTTGAAAATAAAATAATAAATGCAGTTACATATTTTTGAGAAAAGTGTGCAGCCCTATGGCACAGAAGCATGAATAAGCCACCCAAAGAGGTGAAAAAAGGTTTGGAAAAGAACATTTATCAAACCTCTTCATGTATAAAATGAACAGATGCACAGCCATGTTAAGAAACACCTTTTGTATCAGAAAGACTACACTTTTAGTATTTCTCACAGGTTTTAATTATTCTTAAACTAACAGTAGCCAGAGGGGAGTTAACAATATTTCTAGCACACAACCCCAGTAGGCTGCACATATGGTTTTCGGGGTAACAAGGTTTAGTGCTAGGGACCCATAACTTTATTAAGCTGATACACACATACACACACACACCTACACTGCTTCCTTTCCTCATCTAGTAATTGAAGGTGAGAAATAATTTCATTATCCTCAGGAAGAGTAATCTGCTCTCTACTCCTGATCCCTTCATTTCCTACAGTGCACCTCAACCTGGGAGGCACACACACACAAACAGGCACCACATACTTATCACACATGCATGCATGCACGTATACAAACACACACAGTTTTTTTTTTATCACCCTGGGCTATTAATGTTATTGGAGTTGGGGATTAACCATCAGATTCACATATGCTTTACAAAGCTTTATTACTTAGTGCTGTCTGTCTTGCTCTCTCTCCCACACATGCATGTGTTCACACACTCACACACAGGTACATAACTTTGTATTAAAGAAAGTTAATCTGAAAGTATGAAAACATGGCAAGAAATATCCGGTTTAGAACTTTACATTATTGGTACTGGACTGAACTCTTGGGCACAGTGTTATTTGGTGTTATTTTTGATTATCACAAGAGAAGGGTACAGTAAGGCTTTGTCCACATTCTCCCCCTGAAACCTTCCCCTTCAGCATCAGGGTGGGATGTTAATGTTGCATTACCACCCTCTACTGTTCATCTTCCCAAGATGTTTTTGGGTGGTCCGTGATGTCAAGTGTCATGGTGACACACATCTGTGGATATAGGGGGGAGGGGCTAAACTGTCATTGACAGGGCAAAGGTGTGTGGTGGGACATTTCATGTGAACACACAATCAAAAGGGGAGGGGTCAAAGTTAAGGAGGAAGGGAAGAATTAGGATGCAGCTTAAGATACACAATACCCCGCACATACACTTATTCTAGAGGATGAACAGGCTCCAGTGTCTATGCTTTTTACAATTTGTTCCTTGTTAATACTGGAATTGAATTTAATTACTGATTTTATTCATCAGACTAACAAAGGTTGTGTCTCAGACTCTGTACCTGCAGTGACCCCAGTCAAGTCCAGATTCCACTTAAATATAGGACTTGACAGAAGTATGTAAAATCTATCCATTACGATAAATTGTCTTGATAAATGTAATAAGTATTTTTAATACTTTTGTAAGTATCATTATATGACATTTCCTTCCATTTCTGCGTGACTAGATTAATAGCCGAAAAGATTCTGAACTAGACTTTGGACCCATCAGTTGGTTTATTGTCACTGTCATTGTTTTAAGCTTAATTATTTGGGATCCAGGCTATTTAATTATTGAAAACTGAGATGAGAGTAAATTTAGGTACAGAGATCCTCAACGTTTCTAATGTGATACATATAGTTCATTGTCCAGCCTTACTTAAACACCATTAAAAGATAAGACTGCACAGCAATATTATATATTCTTCTTCTTGCCAATGAATCCTTTGCAAAGGCCAAAACCAACAATGAACCACAGCATTGTAAAAGGTGACATTTTTCTTCATTACTGCGGCATGGTACTGTTTTTTATTTTGAGTCAATCTCCCATACACTCTTTTGCTGCCATAAAAACTCACTAGTGCAACAGTCTATGGCTGAAAACAATCCCGAACAAAAGCACTGTTTACTCCTGTAACAGTAAATTGTGCAAAAAAAACAAACAAATAAACAAATAGGCTTAGGGCTTAGAGCCACACACAAGGTAGGGAAGTCAGAAACTACTGAGAGATGCACTAATGCGTTGTTGCTCTTGAACTTTTAATGGGATTTTATATGATAATAAAAAATATAATAGATAATATAATAGACCAGCCTTGTCCTTTTAAACACATATTAATTTAGAATAAAATATCAAGAATTATAAAGAATACAAATTCAGCTAAAAGAAAACATTTATATGCACATCAACAAACACCAAATCTTGAGATAGCAGTAAACTATTGCTGCACTGACCAATGTGAGAGTTGACAATATAAAGTTTTCTGTACTTTGTGACAAGCTCTTGGCTGAAGGGGAATAACAGATGAAATTTAAAATGTCACCTCATTTAAGCCTTACATGTCTTGACACTCTCTAGACACACAGTATAGCTACTCTGGCTGTCATTGAATTTGTGTGTGTGTGTGTGTGTGTGTGTGTGTGTGTGTATGTGTGTGTGTGTGTGTATGTGCGCTGTCAGGCCGAGACGTAGAAAGCGTGTTTTTTTTCTAATGGGGAAAAGGAATATTTGGACATTTTATCAATAGGCATTATTAAATCCTGCTTGCTTGAGCTAATCTTGGCGGACCGGAGCGAGGGGAAAGAGAGAGAGCGAGAGAGAGGGAGAGCGAGAGAGATAGACACAGAGAGGGAAAGGGAGAGAGCAGTGATGTCTGCCCCATGAGGTGAAGAGAGACCGCCTGTAAGCCGCTTATTATATCGACTACCACCTTTTCTCTCTCCTCTTCTAACCCTCCCTCCTTCCCCAGTTTTCTCTCGTTACCTTGCTCATTTTCTATCTGTCTCCCTCCCTCGCTTTCTTTCTCCAACTCATTCTATATCCCCTCATTCTCTTTTCTCAACAACTCCTTCATATAAACACAAGACACATATGTGCACACACACACACACACACACACACACACAAACGGAGCCAAGCCGAACCTTCTTGTTCAAAGCCAGAAGCAAAAAGCTGAAGTTTTATTCAAATGAATGTTTACTTTTTCTACTGCCAAGATGTGTGTGTTTGTCTTTGTGTGTGTGTGTGTGTGTGTGTGTGTGTGTGTGTGTGTGTGTGTGTGTGTGTGTGCATGTGTGTTGAGAGGCAGAGGGAAAATAGCACCAAGCATGCAAGTGTGTGTGCGTTAGTGTGTGTTACATGCACAGCAGAAGGAGAAGGGCTGACTGTAGGTGATAAGCCAGACAGGCCTGCACGCTGTGATTATCACCCACTGGACCCCCTGTCAAATACACACACACACACACACACACACACACACACACACACACACACACTTGCATAGACAGTGCCCAATGAGAGAGTGTGTTGCAAGGATTTAGGAATGACAGACGGACAGACAGACAAACAGACAGAGAAACCTTGGATCACAGGCAAGGTGGAAACCACAAGAGAAGCAAATGAACACAGACTGGAAAATACAATGCATCCAATTATGATTCACTGAACACTCATTGTTTTTATTTGGGTTGTATATCAATATTAAGGTGTTTTGATGTTGAGACACTGGAATCAAAGCACTTTGTCATGCTAGAGATTCTAGATAAATGCCTGCAAATAAATGTCTGTGGCAGAAATGGATGAACATCAGTTGGTCTGAGTCTCTAACTCGCTCTCTGTCTCTCTCTGGTTTAGGTGTGTGGCCATCTGAAGAGGTGATGGCTCATTACTGTCTCCAGAAACGTCACATGTTCAAGTGAGTTATTCCTCTCTTTGAATCTGCTCACTCCATCGTCAAAAGACTCCACCGTTTCACCAAGAAAACAAAGACAAGCAGCTGTGATTAATTACATCGACCAGGCTCTATTATATGTTTTCATTGCAGTTTTTTTCATTTTTGTTTCCAGTTTGACATCAATAAAATATTTACCTTAAATATTGAAACATCACTGCATTGTAAACAAATGAGACACTGAGAATAATAGCTGATAATGGGCTTCTTCCAACCATGTTTGATTTCACAGGAAACCTGCTGCATGACAGGAAATTGCTTTATGATACAAATCAGTAAGAGCAAACTTATTGAAAGAGTTGCATTTGTCATAACAGATCGTGGAACTATCCTCTTCAGTGAATTTAAAGAGAAAATTGAAAACACAAATTAGCAGCAGGGAGGTGGAGGTGGAGGAAGGTTAAAGTAGCAACATCCTTGGAAATGCTAACACATAGCTGTTGTGAGGTAACAGTGTCTGTTTTAGAATATATAATTACACCAAAATATATAAATTCCTCTACATTTAACCTGTTAATCCAGGTTTTGACAGTATTTCAAGTTAATATATGTAGTTATCAGAGAACACGTCAACACCACCATGTTCAGGAAAATGGTTCTAATTTAAATCTGACTGGGACCTGCAGTAAATGCTTGACACTTGTGTCATTCTGTACCTTTCCATGCCACGCTGTGTTGTTCTGGGTTGCTCTTTCCCTTGCTCTCGTCTGTGGAGCTCTGGCCTGCCCTGCGGCACAGGGCTGAAAAGCACCCAGGCACCTTTGATTTCCACTCAAGGTGGAACGTCACCCTTTGATTTCCTGTTTTAACATTCAAGAGGCGGGAGGCGAGGAAGAGAGGGGTATTGATCAGAGCAGCGTAGTGAAGGTCAGCAAAAGAGGGAGGGAGGCAGGGATGGATGAAAGAGGACAGGGGTAGAGATGGAGGGGAAGGGGAGATGAAAGGAGGAAGGGGATGGAGAGAGGGGTTGAATGAGCATGCAAGCTACAGGACTGTGTGTGTGTGTGTGTGTGTGTGTGTGTGTGTGTGTGTGTGTGTGTGTGTGTGTGTGTGTGTGTGTGTGTGTGTGTGTGTGTGTGTGTGTGTGTGTGTGTGTGTGTGTGTGTGTGTGTGTGTGTGTGTGTTTTCTCAGAGTCCTGCTGATTGAGCTTGTGCCTCTCAGTGTTCAGTATTCAGCTTTCAGGTTGATGGTTGAATTGATATTTCTTACCCTGCTGTGTTTACTGTGTGTGTATGTGCATGTGTTTGTATGATAGCGTATGAGTGTGTATATGTACATCTGTCTGCATCTACTGTACAGTGTGTGTGCTACTGTGTGTGTTGGCGCTAAACTGCTAGGTTTGGTTCAGCAAGTTGAATCTCACTCCCACTCTTCTCTCTCTCCCTCTCCGTCTCTCAGGGGTGCAGTGTGTGAGTTAGGAGGAGGTATGACTTGCCTTGCTGGGCTCATGGTAAGTGACACACACACACACACACACACACACACACACACCGCACACACACACACACGCACACACACACACACACACACACACACACACACACACATTGCTGCAGGAGAAGTGACTTAGTTAACCTAATGAAATTGACCCTTACCAATCAATACACAAACTGCATGGGCACACAGTATCCATACCTATTCATACACATATTATTCAATTCGTGTGTGCCTCTGTGTGTGTTTGCGAATCTCTCTACCACATTAAATTAACAGTAGGTCACATGTCTACTCTTCAGTCTTTACCACTTTTGGCCATATTCACAGAACATCTTATGGTTAGCTCCTTACTGCTTGAATAACTTCTAAAATTCTGTGTATCCATCCTTTGTAAGTACAAGTAATTTACAATACTTATTAGTGCTGAGCTGAAAACAACCCCTAGATCTATGAACAGTTTGGGATTTTCTGGACAAAAAATGGTGTCTTGCCACTTTCACACATTTATTACATGTAAACTCACAGATTGTTTTGTTGGTTTGTTTTGTCAGTTTTCTTTAATTGCTTTCCTTTTAAATTATATTGGTCGTACAAATGCCTTGATTGTTAATATGTCAAAAGTATTTGTACCTCTCGCTATTGATTTTTATCCTGAATTATGCAACACAGACTCAACCAAGCTTATTCATGAAACACATTATCCTTAGTATCAACCACACATTTAGTCTTTGCTTAGTAGTTCTCTGTTGTTGTTAAATGTATTAAGAGAAAACATTCAGCTAGCAACTTTAGGTGTCATTTATGGACTTGATGGTTGATAAGATAAAATACTTTGTGAATGTGGTCTAATTTTCTTTCAATACCAGGCTATAGAAGGGATTTGCATAAGGAATCTCTCACATTTACAGCATCTGGTGCGTGTCTACCAGGACAATGGCTTGTTGGATTAATGACAAATTGTTATTAACGTGGCATAAATACTAGCAAAACACTGTTTGAATATTGTAGCTTTGATATGGATGGTAAAACCTGTGCAGACTGGTTTTTTTCCCCCCAAAACAATTTTATATTTTCAGTTTTGTATAAGATATAATGATTATAATATGCTCTTTCATTATGTTTATCAGCACATTCACACAATCACCAGATCACCTGAGTCGTGACACCTAGGTATATGAACTAGCTTGGGTGTTAAAAGCTGGCCTGTATTGACACAACACACACACACACACACACACACACACACACACACACACACACACACTCACTCACGCTCAGATATACCGCAGTCTGTCAGCCATAGGGTTTATTAGCCAGGGTCTTAAGGGCCCCTCCACATAGCAGGCGTCAGTGTCCAATCGATCTCCTAGATGCCATTATGTGTGTGTGTGTGTCTGTGTGTGTGTGTGTGTCTGTGTGTGTGTGTGTGTGTGTGTGTGTGTGTGTGTGTGTGTGTGTGTGTGTGTGTGTGGGTTTGAGTGTGAGAAAGCCTGGTTTTATCTCTTGGCAGTCAATACACCATGTTTTGACATTGGTGGCTTGAGATGGAGTCCTTCCTTCACACCTCTCCTTCTCCTCATCCCTCCTTCATCCGCCACTGACACCACATTCAGGTTTTTTTCTCTGTAGTCCTTGTCAACAGTATACTAATTATTCCTTTAGTCATTTACCCCCTTCTTAATTCTTTATTTTCTGTTCTTTACAATTTTCACACCATGACCCCCCCTTCCCTTCCTACACCCTGCACTGTTGAGTTCAAGATAACATTAAATGTAATTCCTTATTTTCAAGGTGTTAAGCCCATTTATTAAAGGATTTCATTTTTTTGCAAAACAGTGCTATGGTATTTTTTGGTTATGACTGATTGATAGCACTCCTTAGCCAATCTAATAGCATTTTTCTCCCTCTGTAACTACATAAAATAATTAAACTCATTAGTTCATTATGCTATGGATAAATACGGACACTGTCAAACTGTTGAGCCAGAAAGGTCTCTCCTACAAAAGGTACAGATCTGTAAGACCTGGGAAGAATAAAGTAAATTTCATCACCAAGATCTGAAACAAATGTACTACTGAACCGTATCATGTCAAAGTCAACATTTTCAAATTGCTTTTAAGCCAAAAACTCTGTGGCAAATGCTTAAAACTATTACATAAGAAAATATGACAAAAAGAATACCTGTATTCAAGTCAAACTTCAATTGTGATCATCTTCAATGAGTCATTTATTTTCTTTGTTAATAACTTGGCTGTTTTATACCTCTTCACTTCTCCATGAATCTATTCTACAACACTCAACTTGTTTTCCCTGTCTGAACTTCTCTGAAAGCTAAAAGAGTCATTACAATTCGGATTTCACGGAGAAATTCTCAGTAATCATGCTCAATACATTTAGTAGATACTTCATAAAGGCAAATGCTTATTATTCCATTTTATTTATAATTTTACCAATCTCTGGATCAGACTTTCTCTCTCTTTTTTACTGGAAATGTGATCTAATTATTCCTTTCTTTAAATCTGATGACCAACCCCTGCTTTAGACCAACTTTTATTCTACACGATTAGTCCAAATTACTTGACAAACACTTAATATTCAGTAATAAGACACCTAAAAATTAACAAACAGTATGGTTGTTTTTTTTTAACAATCAGCTTTCAGAGTGCCTCAGGGAGCATACCTGATCCCCTATTCTTCCTGTGGAGAGCCTTTTTCAACCACTGTAGAAGTGCTGATTTGTGTGTTGCATGATGCTCCACGATACAGATAAACGGATTAACAAATATATAAATATATATAATAAATATATTTATATAATTATAACAAGTCTTCCAAATTCAACAACAAAATACAATGTTAATCCATGCCTTTTGCAATCCGACAACATAATTTGTCACTGGCTTCAAAAACTATTACAAATCAAAAAATAAATGAAAGTTTTATGACAAGACAGTGCTATGGTTAAGGTTTTGATCATGATTATTCACAATAACAAGGTTTAGGGAAGATCATGGTTTGGGTTCAAATAAGTGCTGTGTTATGGTCAGGGAAACATTGTGGTTTGAGTTTGTTAAGAATAGGGGAGCTTCATCATTGTTATAATAATAAACACTTGGTTAAGGTTAGGGGACGATCAAATAAAACAGCACTGACTCAAAATGTATGGTTTTTGGTTTGATATCAGATTACCTAGTTCACAGTGGCATACAGAGTTTGATATTTTGCTAACCCTTGTTTAGGTTATAGTATGTAAGCATGTCATATAACCTGACTCGGCGTGTGTGTACAGTGGTCTTTGCGGGTGTTGGGTTGTTGCTCATGGGTTGCAAGGTTGGGCTCCTGATCTTTCAGCTGGATGCTCTGGTTCAGCCTGGAGGTCCCTTCCTCCATTTGAGCAGATGGTGGGATGCACAGCACTCAGTGACCCCCCTCACAAACCCTGCAGGGGCTTCACATGTGTGTGTGTCAATGCATGCATGTGTGTTTGTTTCAGAAATGTTCATACACTTGATATGCTACATCATGTATTCTCTATATTCCATATGTGTCAAGATTACATTGAATCAGCCACATACGACTTGTGTGCATACCAACACAATAGCTACTTGCACTAACACTCACCCATGGGTATATGCACATACACACACACTCCTTAACAGAAATTGACAGTCTGACACAGACTTGCTGATATAAAAAAAGAAAAAGAGAACGTGAAAAGATGAGGTTATAGTAAAGCACACACCTCTCTATCTATATCTTCCTCACACAGCGCAGCACAAAGCTGTCTATCCATTCTCCCGTCTCCCTCCCTCTCCCTCTCTTTCTTTTCGTCTCTCACAGTCTGCTCTGCAAAGTTATATGAAGGGCATCAGGCAGGCCCGGCGAGCCGAGTGCAGAGTGACAGCGGCGAACGGAGTGATGGCTCGGCCCGATAAACACCCAGCGTCAAATGAAAAGGCTCTGCGCTTGCCATCATCCCCTGTCACAATGCAATTACTGAACAGAGTGATAGCAAGATAGCAGCCCCCACCGCTAGCCACAATGATAAAAGTATTGACTGATTTGATTGAATGATTAAAATAATGCAGACATAAAAATGGGGTGAAGATAGAGAGGGAAATGGCAGGGAGGAGAGGGAGCAATAGAGGGAGAGGGTTGGGCGGGCTAGCCTGCCAAAAGTGAAGCTTTGTAGATATGGTTATGTCATTATTGTGTGTGTGTGTGTGTGTGTGTGTGTGTGTGTGTTCAGATGTTTGCTTCATCTAAGGGTCCTTTTTGGTTTTGTTCTTTTGTTCTGTGTTGTTTCATTTCTCTGTCTCTTTCCTGTCTCTCTGTCTCTCAGGTTGCCATTTGTGCTGACGTGAAAGAAGTTCTGCTATCAGATGGGAACGAGAAGTCCATTCAGAGTATCCTTTCATCTTCCTCTCTCCTTCTCTGTTTGTCTATTTCTCTATCTCTGCCAAATTCCTCCAGCTCACATTTATTTATATGCATTCATATGATTTATTTATTATGTGTTTTTTTATTTTTTTATTGGGATTTCAATTGGGAAATGTGTTGTTTGCACATTCCTGTACACAAAAATCACCTGTGAACTCATCACGTGATAAATTCACATATAGAGGCATGTGGTTTTACTACATGTAACACGTGGTAAATTTACATGATATAGATACACGTGTTAAAACATTTTTTGACAACAATTTCACATCTAGTGTAATGTGTAACAGCATTTAACATGTGATAAGTTTGTTTGTTTATAAACCATGTTTTTTCATGGTGTTTTTTCATGGTCTAAATGTGGAAAAAATATAAACTTTTTCCACATGCAGAGCAAGATTTAATTTGTGAAAACATGAATTTCACATGTGCTTTTTGAGCCTGTGAAATAAACTGTTAAATAACAGAAACACCTGTTATTTAACAGAAACACAGTTCAACAGCACCACAAACTACATCAATACATAAAATCGAAACGCCTCTCTTAATCAACAAAAACTGAACTTCATAACCTTCATGAAGGGAGGATTCATTGCAGGATTATTGTATTAGACTGCATTATTTTTAACTTGGTGTGCCTGATAAACTGAGAACTGAGTGTTTATATACACTAATAAGATAAGTTCAGTACCCTAGTCTTACAGTTTCACAAATCATTGTTCCTTCCTGTTATAGAATGTTTCATAAAAATATTATCGTGCAATCTAAACCATTATTATTGCTAATTAACTCTGCTAGTATTTTAATCTCTTCCATGCTATGTCTTCAAGAATGATCTATTTTTCTAGTCAAAGACTGCTATAGTTATTTAGTGACTCTTTTAGGAAGTATTATAAGCAAAAATGTGACAGTGTGCTGTAACCTTGGTGTTTCAGCCCTGAAATCAGAGATTGGGTTGGAGTGAAGGAAGAATAGCTATCCACCTCCTTTATCTTTAGGCAAAAGCAGCAGATGGGGTACCCACAGTGACAAATACCCAGCACTAGTGCTCAACATGGTATCTACCAATCCTAGCTGCCCACAATGCCACGTTAAGAGCACAGTAATTGCCATCCTGTCAGATTTAGTTTGAGACTTCATCTAATGCTAAGGCTAGGGTTAGGGCTTGATGAGTGTTTTAGAAACAGTAACAATAAAGGTTTGTTTAAAATGTTTTTGTGTGCAGTTAAGGTTTAGGCCTATAATTAAGTTTTTAGGACAAATCTCTAGGTGAGATTTTTTTTGTTGTTGCCACATTTGTTCTTTGAGTGGGTTATTGATCAGCTCTGTCAGCTTGCAAACCATCCTGCTCTTCTTTTCTACCCATTTCACACTTCTCCCTTTCTGATCTCCTTTGCAGCTTCTTCTTTTCCCTCACCTTTCTTCCCATCTTCTTTCATGATTCTTGTCCTTTTTCTCCCATCCTCCCAGATCTTGCTTTATTCACTCAACAACTACACAGACGAGAAAAAGAAGTTATGAGTCGCTGCAGTTGTTTCACAAAAACAGGAAATATAAATACACATTTCTTTCCCATTGACCGATACGGCACATTCCATATTTAGCTTTGCTTACAATATCTCTGTCTCATCCGGCTACAGTGCTCCTTCACTGCTCACAATAAGACCCAACAATAACATTATGGAGCTTGTAAAACACACACACACACACACACTTATAATACACAAACAATACACCATTGACCGACTGCTTTGTTTCACAGAACAAACACGTATAGAGAATTGTAAGTGAAATCATAGCAAGAATGGATCGAACACACACAGAAAGAGAGAGGGAGGATTGAGAAAGACAGATAATTTGTTCTGGGCTCAGCCAAATTGGCCCATTCACATACTGCAGGAACTGTGTGGCATTTCCTGTCACAGAGGAAGCTGTTGGTCATAGCCTTGTGCTAATGGTCACTGTTTGTCTCACTCTTGTTGTGCGGCTAGTGTTACAATAGACAGAGATAGTGGGTTGTGATATGGCTCGGTTTTATACAGTGAAATAGATGAGAAGATATGCGGAAAATGAAGTTGTGAATAGACGACATTTCGATATATCTAGAGAATAGATTCTTTCCTTCCCTTAGAAGTTGTTGACCTCATTTATAGTGCTGAAACACACACAAATACACACCATAGAGTGGAGACTCTGTTGCTGTGACCTTGAATGCTCATGTTAAAAATCAATCAAAATGTTACATTAAGAATGATTGATGCACGTCATTGGCAGCTACTTGTCTACTTCAAGTGAAGGGAGCAAATATTCCTCCACTTTAATGTTCAATAATACTCAAATCTCTCTCTCATTCACTTTTTCCTCTTTATTTCTGTGTGTGTGTGTGTGTGTGTGTGTGTGTGTGTGTGTGTGTGTGTGTGTGTGTGTGTGTGTGTGTGTGTGTGTGTGTGTGTGTGTGTGTGTGTGTGTGTGTGTGTGGCTGACCTCTCCCCCAGTGGTGTGCTGGTGATGAGATTACTGTAAGCTGCTCTGCTCTTCGCCCTGTCATCCCTATGCATAACACTCTGATGCACAGGTGTTCAGCATGTGTGTGTATGTTGTGTGCTTACGCTTGTGTTGGTCCGCTTGTACTAGTGCGTTCTAACCTCCATATTATTGTGTATCTGTGTCTTGGAGGCCTCTTTGATTTTGGATTGGCTCTCGAGCTATCAATCCATCTATCAACTTATCACACATTCCTGCTCTCTCTCGTGCTCTCTGTCTTTGTCGATTGGATTTGTCTCAGCTCTTTGCAGGCTTTAAAGACAAGGAAATCCTAATTGAATTGCTTTGCAACTCCACAAGCCAGTGTATTACTACACAACTTGACATCAATCGCCGTCCTTTTGTGTGCGTTCATCTGCGTGTATGTGTTTGTGTGTGTGCAAGAAGGGACAGTGTGAGTTTGTGTATCTGTGGTTAAAAGCCTTCCCATTGATCCAGCTAGAGGCTGCTGTGATCTGCTTCTGCAGGCTGGCTCTCTGTCCCTTGAGATCATCTCTGCTCACTCATGCTGTCTCTATGTGGGTGTCTACCATATGTGTTTTTACATAAAGAGTGTCTTACTTAGAGTTTGTGTCTCTTGATGTAGCTCTTTTGTGACATATTGGCTGATTAGTAAGGGAAATGTGGGTGGCAGAGGGAGATGGCCAATGTTCCTCAAATCTTAAGGTCCACATGTTTCATGTTTAAACAGGCTATGATTCACACAAAGAATTTCAGATTTTAAACAATAACTTTGCATTATATATTAATATATATATATATATATTAAATCCATCCACACACTGTCTAGAATTGTATGTGATTGTAACAACCTTTAATCTGTTCAGATGGCAACATCTGAGTTCATATATCATAGCAGTTTTTATTATCTGAAATAAGGGGCGCATGATGCACAAAGACATCTCTAAAGTTTTGATCTATTGTAATACTGTAAACAACTTTAGCCATATGTACTGTATGCAAATAGAGATAATATTGATTTGACATAATATGGAATCTAAGCATTTTCATGCTGTTTAAGCTATAATATGTGTGTCTGTGATGAATCCTTGACTGTGGCACGTCAGATGTACGAGGGCTGGTTGAGAGAAACAGGCAAGCTGGAAAGTTTGGGTCAATACATGTATCTGCCAGGTGAGACCATTTTCTTATTTCTTTATGTTGCATGCTCCTTATGCTCCTTATGAAAAGATACAGTACCTGGCCTCTACTCTGCACTCTTTATCACTGCAGTCAGATATAAGAGTGGACTGTATGTAGTGCTTGATGTACTGTATTATTTTATACGGAAAGTGCCTCAAATATTTCTTAAAAGTGCATAACGTACTATGCCAGGTAGTGAATGTTTTTATCCAAAGTGCCTTTACAGTACTTTGAGTGCATACGTTTTTAGTTTGGGTGTTCCCGGTGGAAATGTAAAAACCATAACCATGGCTGTATCCTAGTCAACACAAATAAAGCACAACTAACCCTCTCTTTTTAATCCAATAACTTTTTGCGAGATGCATCCAGGCATGTTGTCGACACTAACAAAACACCAACAAACATTCAAGCCACGCAAGAATAAAGTGTGTGGTAAGTAAGGGACACAAAAACGACACAATAGAGATATGTCATACTTTACAGTTTGAGAGTAAACTAGTGCGGAAGAGAAGAAGACTATGGTCATTAATGGGTTTATACACACATTTCTAACTCTCAACAACTTGAGTTAATTGTCAAACAAATGCCAACTTGTTATCTACTGAGTGATGGTATTTGTTTTTTCATAGTCTAAAATCCTCATCGTAATCACAACCAAAATGTTTTAGTTTCCTTTTTTAGATACCCTCACATCACGTCCTGTACAGTACTTGACTTACTATTGGCTGACATTTTCTCATTATAAGCAAAAATAGTTTTGTTAAATGTTGTGCTATTGTCAAATATCTGTAAGTGATCATTCTGGACCAACTTTAGAAGGACAGCACATTTTTATAACATTGTATTGTACGAATGTCTTGTATGAATTCTATGAATCGCTAATTCAAATTACAGCTAAATCAGATTTGTATCTTGAATAAACATGTCAATTATATAATTTTTTATGGCCTTAAATTTGAAAAATGAACAACAAAGGATCAAATCTTGTTAGCTACATAATGTAATACCATTCTTCAAGTACACTGTGTGTGTGTGTGTGTGTGTGTGTGTGTGTGTGTGTGTGTGTGTGTGTGTGTGTGTGTGTGTGTGTGTGTGTGTGTGTGTGTGTGTGTGTGTGTGTGTGTGTGTGTGTGTGTGTGTGTGTGTGTGAGAGAGAGTGAGAGAGAGAAAGAGAGTGTGTGAACATGCGCACAAAGTCATCCAAGCAAAATGATTTCCTTTGATAGGGAGTTTTATTCCAGAAACCATAGAGAGAACTTTCCACTAGCCACACACACACACACACACACACACACACACACACACACACACACACACACACACACACACACACACTTCATATGCAAGGACGGGCTAAAACGTAGTTAATTGTTGTCCCTGTCTCAAAAAAAGCATTTTGCCATTGACTGACTGTTTTACTCCCCATCTTCTCTCTCTCTCTCTCTCTCTCTCTCTCTTGCCCCCTCACTCTCTCTCTCTCTCCATTTCACCCTCCTGCACATATTTACATGAGTGGAAGATGGAGTGAAAAAGTAAACGTATAATTAGGCTACATTACTTTGATTGTTTTCTTTTCAGATTATGCCTGCTGTCATCGCCGCACCGCAAGAGAGGGCGAAGGGCACGATGCGATTGGACAAGGGGAGGGAGAGGGAGGGGCATGTCGCGTGATGGTGTGTGCACATGCATGCATATGTGTGTGCGTGTGTGTTGGGACCTCCTGCCGCGAATCGAGATTGTGTTTCTAGCGGGGCCTAATGTTTTGTTTACTGAGTGTTAATAATGCCTAATTAATAATCCCCCACTCTGCCTAACAGTCTGAGAGAGAGAGAGAGAGAGAGAGAGAGAGAAGAAAGAGAGAGAGAGAGGGGGAAAATGGGGTGGAAAGAGAGATGGAGGAGAAAGGGGTGTTAGCACAGCTCTTACAAAATCTGGAACAACCAAAGGAAAAGAAAAACACCTTAACCACTGTTAATCTACTGTGAAAACTCTAAATTAACTTCAATGCTGTTGTGTACTGGACAATACCAAGTGGTCACTGAGACTGGTGGATGCAGACAAACCTGGCAACCCTGGAGAAAACAGTGTCAGCTCTGAAAACAAGACAGAGCAACACTTCCTGCATAAATATCAAGACTGCTACTCTCTTAGCACCTATTTTTAAAGTTCTCACTATTCTCAATTCTACGATCCTATCATATATATTTTCTTTTTTGATAGTGGGTTTAATCAACTGCAAATTAAAACAGTAGCACATTAGAGAAAAGGGAGCTATCTTACTAAAACATGATTAAATATACTTAAATAAAAGGATGTCTCCAATATATGCCAGTTTCAAATTCATATGAATAATCATTTGAGAATTTACAGGATATAAATTGTGGTTAAGTTGCAATGAATTGACTGAGTAGATCGTTGAGGGGTGTGTAGATCTTTTGGTGTGTATATATTGTGTTGTAATGTAAACCATTTGTTGTCTATTTCCTTATATTCTGAATCATTACTTACATGATGGGGGGGGTCGGTGTACGTGTGTGTGTTCACATGGTATAAATGTCAAGTGTCATGTCAGAAGCTTCCTCTCTTTACCTCGTAGATGACATGTCTTCCCTCCCTGACACTTTGTCCAAGTCTCTACTGAAGCAGAAAAACAGTGGGTGTCGGAGAGAGAGGGAGAGAAAGGGAGAGACGGAGCAAGAAGCTTGAGGAATAGGAAGTTGGAAAAAGAGAAAAGAAGCAGTGAAGGACAAACTGCTGCTACTCACTGTGCAGTTCCATGAACACTGCATGGTTTTCTTCTGTCACCAGCTCTACAAATACTAAATTTTACTTTCTGTTTTATCTGTGTGCTTACAGGGTGATGAGGTGGGACTGTGAGTCAGACATTTCAGGACTAGAGGGTCACTTTGACATTGTCATGTGTGCAGACTGGTAGGTTCACACACACACACACACACACACACACACACACACACACACACACACACACACACACACAAGATTTATCTCTGTGTGTGCATTCATGGCATTAATAATATTCACTTTTGCGTGACAGTTCTTGCATGGCCCCCCACCAGTGCCTGGACCTTCCCCTGCCTTGTCCGCACATGCACATGCACTCACACACACACACACACACACACACACACACAGAGACACACACACACATACATACATATGCTCAGATGCTTGCCTGCCTCCATTTTACACCAAATTGCCTCGTTTTCATGCTTGGTGTCCCAGCAAATGGATGACTTAGGCAAATTGCAAATAATTGCGCCTTGACAAGGAAGGAGACACAGTAAGATAAAGAAAGAGTTGAGGGCGGATGGAGGGAGGAGTAGAAATGGAGATGGAAATGGAGAGATAGAACAACATAAACATAACAATTAGCCCATCGGTCATTGAAATGTAGATCTTGTGGCCAATCAAGAATTACATCTTTTTTATCACTCATTTGTACTGTGTGAGATAAAATGCATCAGGATTTTCTGTGAACGCTGCACAGGAAAAGACAGAATCATCTGTGAAGGCAATTGAGAGTTTAATTGCTCCTGTGAAACACTTTTCTTTTTCTTTGTACTAAATCAATCAAAGTGGATGGATTGTGCAACCTTGACCAGTTTACACACACACACACACACACACACACACACACACACACACACACACGCAAAGGGGATGTAGTAGTAAATAAAAGGGTAAGTTGCTCATTCCAACAACTGCACCCTTTGCCCAGCAAGTACATGCCTTCAGTATCTACTAGAGGGAGAAAAATAATAAAATAAAACATGATCTGTTATTTACTATTTTATTAGAGACATATTTATCCAAATTTAGGATTATAATGTTTTTGCTTGTGTACCTACACTGTAAATCTGCCAATATATATTTTATGACAGGGAGTATTAGGATGATTTTTTTTTTTAAAAAAGAAGAATTATCTGCATTTAAAGCAGATGTTCCAACCAACCAAGTGTCATCATTTTAAGTATCAGGAGGTGCAAGTTCTGTGGTTGTGGAAGCAAAACCTCCGGTGTGAGAAGAGATTGTGCAGGACTGGAAAGGGATCTTAAGTTTGGTTCAGGAAAACCTTTAAATGACTCTGGAGGGAGAAGGAGTGTGAGGAGAACTGCTTACCTTGACTGGTTATATTGTCGGGTATTTTAGCATCAGGCCTTCTGAGACACTGAAGTCTTTTTAATATCCATGGAGGTTCAGAACGGTGCCTAAGGACTGGAAGACAGGCATGGTGGCTCCCCTTTTTTAGGACTGGTCATGGAACAGGAGACCACCTACGTCCTTTAAGCTGTATTTCAGATTTTTAGAGGCAGGTAAACACCCTTACGTCAGTTTACCACCACACCTGCACACTCTCATACACACATGCACATAAAAAAAAAAACACACTGAGAAGATGGACATGCTGTTGGTTGAAGTGAAAGTACTTACTACTATTTACCAGCTTCACAAACACCGAACAAAATTAGCTTGTGTACAGTATGTGTGTATCTGTCTGCACGAGTGTGTGCATGTGTGCTAAGTGCAGCATTAGCAAACGCCGTTATCATTATTGTAATGTCACGGTCATTACAGGTAATAGTCAGGTACAACACCCAGAGAGAGAAAGAGAGCAGGCAGCTAATAGAGGATATTTTACAGTGGACAAGTGTATCTGCACACGTGTGTACGACAGATAGATGCAGATAGTGTGAGAACGGAGTAAATTGCATGTGAATTTTTGATATCGCATATTCTTTCTCTCAGCAGAGATTCAGGCTTTAGTGATGGGTCTGTGCAGTGTGTGTGCTGCAAGATGTTTTACTGTGTGGTGCCATCTTTCCTGCGTGTGTATGTGAGTGAGTGATTGTGCGATAATTGCAGTGGCGGTGGTTGAAGAGTGATGGCTGACCGATTAACGGGTGCATCATGGGGATGATCACCTACGAAAAGGTCAACAACGCGGCTTCCACTCTGATTAATTATAGCTCCTACCGGTAGCAATGGAACCACCGCTGAGAGGAGAAGGGAGCAGAAGCGAGGAGGGGAGTAAGGGCAGGAGAAGAGTTTGGTGTAACATTGTATATCAGTAGTCCGTTATGTACTAACTTCTTTGGATATTCTGCCTATTTTTTAAGAAGGGGTAATATGCAAAAGAATAATTGTGGAGTCTTGGAGTGGATTTTGTTATTTAAGTGCTGTTAAGTATGAATCTGGTACCGCTCAACACTTAACAAACTTTTTAACCTGATGAAATTGTACCACTTGAATAAGACACTATGAATTGCCTCTCTGTGTGATGTCACAGCTGTGAAAAACATCTGAAACATAGGTTAGTATACTGCGAGACGTGGTCTCTAGATATTAAATGTCACGGCCAGCTATAGGAGGTCACAATAGCTTCTAATAAAAATACTGCTACACTTAAAATGACTTCTTCTGAAAATGAATAACCTTTGATGAGAAAAATGTGTCTCCTCTATATACAGTGTATATATATATATATATATATATATATATATAATAATATAAAGTTTATGCAGTAGTCATACCAATTTATAAAAAAAATAGTAAAATAGAGCACCACTGCTCACTCACTTTCTGAAAATATTAAATCTTACTTTTGAAATGCACTTCCTTTTCCCCTTTCTCTGCCTGTCTAACCTGTCTAAGCAAATAGGGCTTAAGACACACTTCCCCATCATGGAACAAACAAGAGGAGGTGTAGAGTATACAGTAAAGCTGCGAGGATGACAGAAATAAGATGGGTGAAAGAAATGAGAGAGAAATCAAAGAAATGAAAAAAAAAAAAACACGGAGGGAAGGACATTCAGTTAAGGAATATTGTCAATTAAGCTCCAAAATGTATATGTATATTATTATTTCACTTGAATATTTGACCATCACTGTGCAGAATGATGTATGTGCAGAGTTTGACAACAGAACATTCATCTGCTGAAAGTGGAAAGTTTATCTGTGCTCACCTTAAATGTCTTTTATGACTAGCTGTCTTTAACTCGTTAAGTCTTATCAGTTTTCCAAAAGTGTAATCAAGACAGTGACAGGGAGAAAGACAGACATAGTGCAGGAATAGTGGAGTGTTGGGTGCCTCCATTGTGTGTGTGTGTGTGTGTGTGTGTGTGTGTGTGTGTGTGTGTGTGTGTGTGTGTGTGTGTGGAGAGAGAGAGAGACAGAGGAGGATTCCTGCAGTGGGCATGTGGGTGGCAGAGGATCCTTGGCTGGGATGTTGGCATGTCTGCTTTCTCCAAAAGCTGTCCATGTGTGGGCACTGAGATAAAGCCTTGTTTGTGTGTGTGTGTGTGTGTGCGTCTGTGCATCTGTGTGTGTGCACGTGCATTTTTCTATTTTTGTACTATATCTATATCTATCTATGCTGTTTTTTTATACACACACACCTCTTTTATGTTTCACTTCAGAGCTGAATTGGATTAGATTAGCAACTTTGGACACGTTGGTTATGTTCACATGAACACACACAAACACATCGTTGAAAGATTTATGTGACAACTTGGCTCAATAGCACCAGCCTGGACAGAGGGTCAGAAATATGTGATGGCAGTGTGTTGTACTTTTGACAACACTGAAACAATAAAAAAGCGAGTAGTACTCGGTGCTTGCAGATCATAATGAATAAAGAAACAACATTGTTTTTATGATTTCTGTTTAATTTATTATACAAAAAGATTATCACCTTGTGCCAGTGTCCTTTCCATTGTATTTGAGATCAGAACAGCTCATTCTGAAGGAACTAAAGTCAACCTTAATGCTTCAAATTAAGTCAATATACTTTACTTTAAAACTTACTTTAAGACACTTTCGCATTTACTCAACATTGTGTTTTTCTTCTCTTTTGTTTATGTCTTTTCTCTGTCTCCATCATATATTTTCTGTCAGAACTTCTACAGCAGTACTTTGTTTCTTAATTCAAGACATTGAAACAGTGTTTAGCTTTTTTAGTTTTGAAAAATGATTGTGCCTCTCTAAATTGAAATTATATTATAAAACACTGTTTTATCACACTAAAGTAATGAGAAAATCCTTTATATACTATATATATATATATATACACTAAGTTTATAAGATTCAAATAAATGAAAAAGACACTACACCAAAATCTGTAGTCACACACGTAATCAGGGCTTGATTGTGTTGATGGGAAATATTTCATCAACCTGTTATAACCTCTGTAGGATCTCATTCAGGTTGTGTTGAACATTTATAACTATTTAAAATGGTTCTAATTCTGAATGTTTAGCCAACAAAAAGCTGATAACCAATCTCAATGATATGGTAATTAATTTTATTATTAATTTTAGAAAATATGAACAAAAAACATAAGGTGTCTCCATCTTTTTTCCCATTTCAACAGAGTGATTGTTAAAGGCACGGTTAGTGTCTTTGCCAAGAAACATAAAAATCGCTCACACACACATATACACACACAACATTGCATCCTTGTATACTTCTCAATAGGATGAAAGAGATCAGTGTTTTGATTCTAGACAGCTTTGGTATTAACTGTCTTTTTAAGTGGGTCAGAGTTAACACACTTTGCATTGCACTTCACTAGCTTTATATTTAGTGATTACCGTATATGTTGTTTTGTCACTCTTGTTTATCTATGACAGCACATTTGGTAAGAGTGAATTTTTCCGAAAGGTCTGGGAAGAATAATCTGAAACAAATTGATACAACAGAAGTCATACTAAAGAGGACTAATCAAGTTAGTATTACTAGTAAGTAAGGTTTTTGGTTCAAATCTCGACAGTGAGGGAAGGTTTGGTTTAGAAATTCTGATCTGAGTTCTGAAAACTGCCTCGTGTTTTTGTTTGCCTCATTTTGCATATAAGACAAACAGATACCAGAAGTCCTGAAATGGACTAATATATGATACAGTATGGTATGTGTCACAAAACCTGATATAAATTAGGCAATACCTTTTTAATAACCTGCTAATGTATACAAATAAACACCATTGCATAGATGATGTCATGTGTTTCCATGGTCTCACCCTTGCAGCTTTGGATACATCCTGTATGTCCACGTACTTCTATAGACAAATATAGCAGCAAGGCTCTCACACACACACACACGCCCGTTTCGTGTCCTTTGACCTCCTGTCAGTTTTCACTGGAGTTCGCTGGGTTGTTCTGGGTGGGAGGGGTCAGTTTGAGACAATAGGCCTCTGACAGTCTGGGGGCACCAGAGGTGACCTTAAAGTGACCTTAAAGGGGAAGACCACTCAATTTGAGAGTCCATAAATATTATACTGGCATTATTAAACTGTGACTCTCCACCACAGTGCAATAGACTGTTACTGTGACCGTCAATCAACACTTGTACCTGACATAACTGAAAGAGCTCTAAAATATCAAAAGATGTTGAATTATTTATTGTGATAGAATTGCATAATAATGACATTTGTCAAATTTCTAAACTTTCTCAATAAACATCAAAATTGAAATTAACCAACAATGACAATGAATAGTATATACGTATACTATCTGTCATTGTTGGTTAATTTCAATTTTGATGTTTGTTAAGAAAGTTTATATATATATATATATATATAACTGGCAACTGGTATATACAGCCTAATGTAGCCAAACTTTATAGCAGTGCTGATTTTTTTTTTTTATCTTTTAGATTTTAAAGAATGTTTCAGATTACACCCTTCATTGTCTTCCCCTCGAGATGAGGTGAATTTAGCATATTCTTTATTTATTATTTTTTATTTAATTTTGTAATATTTTGAACATTTCTTTTTTTTTTCAAAGATGTTAATGTCTGAAAATAACAAGGTATGTTTACACATACACTATGCACAATATTTACCACAATTCTATACAATATAGGTAGTAGGAAGTCCCTGTTCCGTCTCTCTGTTATCTAAGGGGTCCTTGACCTGATTTATACCATTTCTCTCCGTAAACTTTTATTCACCCAGTTTCTGTTAAAATGAACAATTCCTGTCCCTGCACTAATAATCTTAAACTAAGAGCTTCATCATCCATTATTTAATTGGCAGTTAAACTTTGGATTTTCTCTGAATGACTTATAATACAAGTGAGTTTCCTGCTGTACAAGCAATGGTTACTTAATGCAACATATATGGCTTTATATGTCATATCACAATGTTATAACAGTAGTTGTACACATCTTTAAATGTAAACTTTTCATCAGTAATCTTCTGTTGCCCTCTTAATGACATGGTGTCCTTTCTTTGCCCTCGGTGTGTTTGTGTCTGCGTGTGTTTCAGCTGTTACCTCCACCCAACGAGCTCACTTCCTTGTTTTCCTTACCACTCATTTTCCTGTGAACTGATATCTGTGGCAAAATAAACCAAACACAAACCTCTCACCTTTCAAGTCAAATAAACTTGGCACTTCTGTTTAACCTTAGAAGAACAATAAACTTTACACATACGTACACCCATCCTGGTTTGGGTGAGAGCATGTAATAGTGGCTCCTGGTTTTGTTTTGTCTTTCTTTTTTTGAAAATGTCTGCCCCATATCCTATGTACGAAAACATATCTGTGTAGGTCTGGGCAGAGATGCAGAGAGGAGAGTCTGTGCGTGCACCTCTCATTCCTCACTGGGATCAGAGGATTTTGAATGAGGAAAGGTCAGAGGCTGTGATTGGAAAGTTGCGTCCAGATTGCCACTCCACTGGCCAGTTGGACGGATGTGTGGGATTATGTCAAATCTGCACTGTATTGTTGCATTTTAGTCAAATTACTCCTCTCTCATCTGTGATAATAGGTACACACACACACACCCCTCCCACTCACACAAACACAAACACACACACACACACACACACACACACACACACACACACACACACACACACATCGCTCTACTTGCTTGGATAATGGATTGAAATTTGTCTTTGTGGATATAGAAACAGGTGTTACTTTGTTTAGAATGATTGGAGTTGATTTGGGCCTGTGTGTGCGTGTTGCTGTATCTGCATCCATTAAAATCAACTTGTTTTCAATAGTGAATTATGTTTGGATGAAGACCTGAGAACTGAACACTTTGTTATAACCTAATTTTTACATTTATATCAGAGAAGAAGAAGATACAAGGAACCAATTCTAATGACATAACTGACCATAAAAACTGTTTTGTCAGTTGTTGAATTTGATATCCTCTTTCGTGTTTGTATTTTGCTTTTGAGGAAGAAATGTGTGAGCACTCAAATCTCACATGCATACCTGTCAACATTGGGATTTGAAAATAAGTTTTTCAGTTTTTTTTAAGAAATTTTCTGGTGCCGTGACTCGGGCCATCCTACCACCCCTACCACTGTCCACATACCTGTTACATTTATACAAGGGTACACACAGTGAGTTGTAAAATCCCCACTAGGCCTACTGTACAAGTAAGTGACGATCAGAATCAGATACCTGGTTGAACATAGTTGTATTATATAAACGAAAAACGAAAGGGCATTTAAATTTAGCACTTAAACCTAAATAAATACAGTAATTTGTTGAGCATATTTCTGCACCTCTTGCGCGCTTATGCTTGGCAGATTTGTCATGCCGGCTCAAAACGCTTTTCCCTCCATGTGATACACTAAAATCCAACATATTTTACAAAAAGCATGACTGACTGAGTAAGAGTCCTCCCATTTGGTGAAATAGAAACTTTTAGCCTTTTGGGCAGGTACTCTATTCTTCTCATGTTCATCCATCCTTGTGCTTCTTCTTCTTGTATTGGTAGGTGCCACATGATTGAAGACTTCTCATCAGTAGATGTTCAGCTAATGTTTTACCTAATGCCACCTGCTTTACCGGAGGGTAATATAGAAAACACATCAGGCTACTTTTTTTTTCTCGAAAAAAAAAAAATACAGGAGGTTCACAAGAAAATATTTAAACGTGAGGACTCTACTTGAGTTCTATCAAACAATAATATGCACAGGGGAATGTGGAATCTCACAATTTACATATGAATGATCTACAACACACTCTTCACTGTATAGCTAATCATCAGTTAAACCAATTATTTAGTTGCGACTTACATGTCATACTGTGGCAGAATGATATCTTTATATATGGTCCCTGAATTGTTTAAATGTAGTGCTAATCTTATTGTTTTAGAAGTTGCACATATGGAAAAACATACATGCACAAATGCTCTAATGTTTACACTGTCTCTCCCCCTCCCCCCCCACCCACCCACACACACACACACACACACACACACACACATGCATTATAGTACAGTGGTGTTTAATGTAAAACGGAACAAGTTAATTTGATTTTGTTCATATTTATTTATTTTCATGTTCTCCTTTGTGTGTTGTTTTTGTTCTTATATCTTCATATTAACTTCAGAACGCACACTCCAGGTATTAATTCCAAAAATTCAAGGTGCTTTTGCACCGCTTTGAAGTGTCCCAGTAAAAGTGTGTGTGTGTCTGTGTGTACACACGTGTGTGTGTTTACTGTAGGCGATGGTATCTGTGCACATTGGATTTTCTGATGTTCTGCATTCCTCTTGGTGCCTCGACAACAGGCTGAGGTGAATACACATGGAAACTCAAACGTAAACAAAAAAGCAGAGCATCTTACTCATGCAAATTGTTTTTCCTTTCTTCCTGTTGGAGGATTTATTTGTGAACAAAAGAAAATAAATAGCCCGCTGCTTTATCTGGAGCTTCTATCATAAGAATGCATTCTAACCTGACTCTCCCTCTCCCTCTCAGTTTGTTTCTCGACCAGTACAGAGGCTGCCTGGTTGATGCTATAAGGAGATTACTGCAACCCAACGTAAGTGTGTGCGCATGTGTGTCTACTGTATATATCTCTGCTTATCCCCTTCCTCTAAATCACCACCCGCTCCTCTCAATCATAATTAGGCCTCGCCCAAAACCCTATACACATTAATAGTCTGACAGGATTAATATCATGTAATGCTTTAATGCTTATTATGAGCAACTTGAATGCATCGCTCTGATCTCCGTCTCTCTCTCCTGCCTTCCCTTAATCATAAATCAGAGGCAACTTCTCCCTTTTGGCCTCGCGATAAGACCCCACGCTGTGACAGCCAAAGCAAATGGGATGGGGGGGAAAGCAAAAGACTGGAAGAGATAGGGTTGAGGTTTCTATTCATCTGAGAGAAGAGGGGTGCGTTTTATGTAGAGAGGCCAGACTGGTATAGGTAATATGTGTTTATGAAAAAGAGATGAAGACAGCACAGAAGAGAAGGAGATCGGGATAAGAAGGAGGAGCAGAGGAAACAGGAAAAGGTGAGGGAGGAGAGAGATAGAAATTATGAAAGGAAAGGATGAGGGATATGAATGGGAATGATGAAGGTGTGGAAATGATAGACAATGAGAAGAGATGCAGATGGAAGGAGAAACAATAATACATTTATTTTCTTCTTGTTTGAAATGTTTTATAGATGACAAACCAGAGACATGCAGGTTATATTGTGGTTTTCAGCTCAACTCCAGTTCATTAAAGGGTCAGTTTATCCAAATTACAAAAAACTAAATAAACAGAACCGAAAATAATCATCAACAACCTGTTCTTTCATAAACACCGTCCCTGTTTCTCTGAATAATTCACATACCTCTCTGTGACTGTTTTCACTAGCACTACTTTCTACTGAAGAAATAGTCCCTTTGAAAACTGCTGACCACATGTCCTGTGGATTATCCAGCACAACTGGGACACTGTTTCTAGAAAGAGAAGTTGCTCTTGTATTTTTTAAATGTCATTTTTAAATGATGTCAGCACCTCAAATGTAATTCCATTCACTTCCATTCTATTGTGGTGGAGGAAGAAACCTCACCAACGGATATATAAAACTTGGGCACATAAAACTGAAACTATCGGCTTGCCTAGATACCACAATAGGTTAGTGAGAAAATGTGTTTCTTTGTAATCTGGGTGAATTAACCGTTCCAGTTTCTTTATTATTTTTGTGAAAACCAGCAGAGGTAACTAGAAAGACAAAAGGATTATATTATTAATATTGTGTTGTTGCCAGCAGTGGCAGCGTTTCCTCAGCTGACATTTCAGACAGCGACATGCGCAGTAACACCTACAACCTGAATATGTGTCTCGGTTGCAGTTGAATGCAGAAGCTGCTGTAGTCGAATGACAGACATGACATCTGGCCATTGTTGTACATCTGTGTGTTAAGTCTCTCTTCATGTCTCTCCCTCTTTAATCCAGTGGAGATAATTCAGGGTCTAATATGATTTGAGTGTCGGCCATCAGACTGTCACTGCCACAACAAGCTTTGCCAAATATTTAATAATTTGCTAAGCTGATTAAGCAATTAACAAAGCAATTAATTCTCCCATCTAATGGCACTAATTTGTTGTTTCTGACAAAGGTGGTCCATTCGGTGGGCTGGATCCCCTTAATCAGCTGATTAGTGCTGGGAGGAATTGTGTCTGTTTGTTTGCTTTTGCCATGTTTTTACAGAGAGAGGGAGGGTCGGAGAAAAAATGCAACTGGATATACAGATGAAAAATCATCTGTCAAATGGAGTGATCCTGCTGTTTTCACTGCCTTTGTGTTCATTTAGCTTGTGTTGTGTCAGTGTATTTGCTGTATGTGTGTGTTTGTGTGAACATCCCTCTTTGCTCCATTTAATTAAAACAATAATAACATGATCAACATGAAATAAAACTGAAAGCTGAAGGATTTCAAAGAAACTTTGAACCTGTTGGTAATCCTCTTAGTATTTGCAAGACGTCTGTGATGCATGTGTGCATACATGTCCTTTTCACACACACTCGTACGTGTCACATACACGAGTAGACAATATAAACTTACACGTGTTTACATTTAATTGGACTTGTAGAGCTTTAATTTTTGGTTTATCATTTAATACGTACCTTCTAAAAATCAAAGGAAGGAGAGACATAGATGTATGTGTCTATGTCTTTGTGTGTGTGTAAAGCTAAACAACCAATATTATGAGACATGAGGTATGAAAATGTGTGTGAAGTACCCCATAGATGTAACCATGCACGTTTTCTATCTAGGGCATGGCGCTGGTGTTTGCTCCACTGCGTGGTGAAACTCTGAGACTGTTTTGTCAACTGGCACAGCAGGCCGGACTCTACGTCTCTCAACACCAGCAGTATGATGCTCAGGTCATGGATGTTCACTTAAAGGTAAGACGCATGTCCAAGAATAGAAAAACACTCAGACAGCGAGCATGACTCCAACCGTATTCCTTTCAAAAAATCCATCGTTTGAATCAGTTGTTGTTTTGGTCAGTGAGATGACTACATAATAAAAAAAAAAAGGGCAGTCCAAAGAGCATTTGATTTATTGATTTCTGCTGGATGTAAAGAGACTTTCAACAAATATAACAAACAATGCTTCTGAAATACATCACCTACCTTTAATACCATGCTTACACACCATATGATCGTTGAGAGAATTAGCCGGTCGCTGTAATCGTTCGTCCTCTCCTGACAGGCGAAGAAGCTATTCCTTTCTAAGGCGGCTACAATAAAAGAAACAGGACAACAATCTGTGCACAAGGGCTCATGTTAATTGAGACTGCTGAAACCTCACATTTGTTTTAGCTCAACTTTTACAGAGGTTGATAACACCTGAACATTATATTAAAATAGGCTTGAATTAACAGAGTTCATTTGCTTACTTGAAAATCTGCAAAATCTTTTGCTACTTTCTAAAGAAACCAGCAACAATCCAGGTTGCGTAATGTGCTCTCAGCTTTAATTAAGACTAGCGGATTAGCCTGTCGTTTGATGTTTATATAGACACTTGGTGAGACGCACGGAAGCTAAAACAAGCTGCCTTAACTTGGCACCACGAGAGGAACCGAGTGAGGGAAGAAGAGGAAAGGACAGTGAAAAAGAGAAAAGGAGCGACAGAAAGCACATGAGTAGGCAGTGTTAAAAGAAGTGGTGTCCAGCTGTTAACTCCATTACACACACAGCTACAGAAGAACAGGACAGCACGGAGCGGGCTAAATTGGTGCACACACATTCACCTACACTGGTGGGACAATTGGGCAGACTGGCCATTAAAGTGCCTGTTAAAGTGGCCTGAACCTCAGCAAGGAAAATCTCACTCCTTCTCCCCTTCTCTATTTGTTCTTCACTAAATTTTGCATTCACAATCACTAACAAATCTGGACCCTTTCAAACCACATTCAGGGTGAGCGCACATTTACAAAGGGTGGCTGACTTAAAGGTCCAGTGTGTAACATTTAGGAGGATCTATTGCAGAAATGGAATATAATATTCATTCGTATGTTTATTAGTTTATAATAACCTGAATATAGGAATCGTTGTGATTTGGTTACCTTAGAATGAGATGTTTTTATCTACAGACACTGTAGGTCGCCTTCCATGGAGTTTGCCATGTTCTACAGTAGCCCATAATGGACAAACCAAACACTGGCTCTAGATAGGGCCTTTCAGGTTATTCATGAGTTTCACAGCCACTGTAGTTTTTCCTACACACTTGGAACAGTAGGGTAAGATAACAGTTTTAATCTGTAACTATACCCCCATTAAATCCTATACACTGGTCCTTTAATGTACAACTAATATGTTTTGGAAAGGTTTTTTTAAACAACATAACAAGTGAGCTGTTCACTGTCAATATACCATACTGTATGTGAATTATTTTTCCCAAAATATCAGTAGAAAATAAAATTATATTAAGGCCAAGGAAAGCACCTTTGTTAAGGTCATGGAAAGATCATGGTCTTGGTTAAATATTAAAATGTCCATGCGTAAGTAGGGGTACATTTACTTGTTCAGTATATAACCAAAACCAGAACCTTTCCATAACGCTAATCAAGTCTTTTAGCAGCCTAAAGACCACTTGGGAGGCTGGACTCAAATCCCGATCACTCTTACATTTACATTTACATTTGTGTATATATATTTATATATGGCTGAATTTATTCTACAAGCAAATGGACAAACACTGGCTTTAAGAATATGTCAGATAAGGGTAAAAATATATATAAAGAGACAACCCATCTGAAAGGAACAACATAGATGATTTTTGAGCAGACACTAACCCTAACCATAAAGTAGGTTCAATTTATGAGACATGGCTTCAAATAAAAAATTGTTACAGTGGGTGGTTTTGGCTTCAGGTGGAGTGGGAGCAGCACAAGAAGAGCTAAAGTCACTTTAGAAAATGGACACAAAATTCTAGAAAAACTCAGAAGGATGGAAGTAAAAAAGGAGAGAAATAGAAACAGAAAGTAGTTAAGAGGGACAGAAAGAAAGAAGTACCTTTAGTGGGATTAAAGTGGATGCTGCCATTGAAATACAACTTGGTTTGAAAAAGCTGCGGGGGGAATTGATTGGGCCTCAAGGCCGCAGAATACAGTCATTGAATAATCCTAATGGTTCAGCACCTCGACCGCTTGTGAAAATTTCCACTCAGACCTATTTTGGTGATGAAAGTTTCTTGACAACAGAATGTGTACAATGTGAACGGTGCAATTCAGACTAAAATTGATATAAATATCACCCTGAAATAATGCAGGTTTTTATTAAAAAAATTACATGCAAGGGGACTGTCAGACCGGTCAGTTCACTCTTGAAATGCACACTTCTATCTGTTTGATACACACACATACACACACACTGTCACACATGCACACATACACACATACACAGTGGGGTCAGGTGCTGCATGTGGATATGAGGACAAGTTGAAGTGCCCCCCTCACATCTGAAGGTGATTAAGTCTCCTCTGCTTATCTTCTGATGAACACTCTGAACAAGCCCTGTGTGGGTTTTCTGTGTGTGTGCCTGTATGTGCCTGACTGACCATACTCCACACACACACACACACACACACACACACACACACACACACACACACTGTGCACACAGCTAAGAAACAAGCTAGATCACAATCCCACACAGACCAGACATCACTCAGACAGCATATTGGCTAGACATTACACACAAACGCACACACCACATGATGATATCACAGCGAAACATACACTACCACCGCGCACAGACACACGCATGCACATCCAAATGAGCAGCTGCTACTCATTTGCACTACAGATTAGCTTTCTTCAGCTATATTTACTTTCAGTGGGTGGATCACAACACAAGAAAAATGCATATCAGAACCGACAGTAGAACACACTCTATGGATTTACTTTCACTGCGGCTTAAAACAATCAAAGACGTCTCCACCAAAAGCAGGTGTATAACTGAAAAGCCTATATGTCATTCTTTTAATAGTGAGAATTTGAGCTGTTAAAATGTCTCTAGTTTGCAAGTAAACACCTGCTTAATGGTGTTGTATGTACTATGTAATTAACTTTTACTGTCACTGCCTCTTTAATTACATTGTGTTTATTGCTAAAATCCATCACTTTTTTAAATAAACATTTAACATTTTGTGGTAAAGTGTTAAAATGTGTCATTGATCTATTAATTTGATCAGTAATTTATGATGTGTTTTAAGGAAATAATAAAGTGTTATTTGGTTTATTTCATATAAACATATTTTTTACTTAAAATGTTGGAACAAGTCAACAAATTCTGTAATCTGGTATAACTTTAACATACAAGGCAGAGGAAGGCCACTACATAGTGTTGTCAAACATGTTGTCAACAGGGCAATATGGTTGAAATCAGTGAGGAAGTTGCTTCAATATTAATATATTATTATTATTATTATATGGCCAATGTATGCATCCCATGTTTAATAATCCAATTACTTTATAATGTATGTAAATAAAATGTATTCTACTGTATTTCAGACAAAACTTGACAAAAAAAAAGACGACATGATATTAAAATGATCTCCCAACCCTGCTGCCAAGTAAGCAGCACACTCCAATCAAAACCCAAACTTTCACGCAGCCACACAACATTATCCTGTAGTCGGTTGAGTTTCTACATGCGTTGTTTAGGCCGAGTTTACTTCTTTTCCTGCTTTCGTAGCGACTCACAAGCTTCTCCATCTGGCACAGATGCTGTTAAACAAACGTACCCCCAGTAGCTGCGAGTATACTGGCATCCCTCGCTGTCAGTTCTGATTTTGTTTGGAATATACTGCCTGTCTTAATGTTTGCTTTGTGTGTGTGTGTGTGTGTGTGTGTGTGTGTGTGTGTGTGTGTGTGTGTGTGTGTGTGTGTGTGCGCGTGCGTGTGCGCGTGTATGTGTGTGTGAAAACGAGAGAGCGGGGAGTGTTTTTAGCAATTCTTTACAAACCATCTCCAGACCCCCAGCTCGCTACTCTGCAGTTTTCCAAACATACACACGCTTTCGCCCTCTGACACAAACGCACTCGAGGGACGGCAGACAGCATGCAGGCCCAGTGTGTCTAAGAACTGTGTGTGTGTGTGTGTGTGTGTGTGTGTGTGTGTGTGTGTGTGTGTGTGTGTGTGTGTGTGTGTGTGGGGGGGGGGGGGGGGGGTGTGTGTGGGGGGGGGGAGTGTAAGGCGTGTGCTGGGACGGGCAGACAGGGCTAGCGCGTTATCCTCTTATCCCCACTGTTGTGGAATAGAGAGGCAAGCAGCTGGAGGGACTGCAAGCAGCCTGATAATGCCAGCGCTATTTTCTAACCCGCCATCTTAATCTTGTTACTCAAATGGTTGTGAAGAGAGAGTCATGAATTTTAATTTCTCTCAAACACACACACATGCAAGAGAGTGTGTGTGCACATGTGTAGATCCCCTGTCTCTCTCACATGCATAAATAGTATCCCCACTGTGTCCATGCACTCACACTCTCTTCCCTGCCTCCTTCTTTCTGCCTCCCTCCTTCACTCTTTTTCTCTCTCCCCCCTCAGCTGCCTGGCTACCTCCCCCCCCCCCTTTTCTCTGACATATCTTCCTTTCCCCACGCTCCCTCCCTCTGCTCCCCACTATCTTCCCATTTCCTACATCACGACCCACTTCTCTATTTATTCAAGCCTGTCCTTCTATCCCTTCCTCTACTCGTCTCTCCATCCACCCAATCCCTCATTCTCTGTTTCCTAATCCTGCCGAGAGAGACCCCAGACATCCGGTTCATCCTTCCCTCCCTTGTCTCAGACCCCCCTCCTCTCTCTTTTTCCACCTTGTTCACTTTCTCTCTGGTCTACTCAAGCAGGGCAAAAATAAACTCAAAAAAAGAGGGAGGCAGGGAAATAGAGAGGCACAATGAGAGCACGAGAGAGGGAGACAGAAGCTGGGGCGAAAGTGGCAATAAAATAAATGACTTGCACCTTGGAAGAGGAAAAAAAAGAGAAAAGATTGTGGGGGCGTTGGGGTGGGGGGGGTGGGGGGGGTTGGGTTGAGAGCCGATTTAGCCAGCCACCCATGAAGCTGATTAGGCAGCCTGCGATCAGGAGGAACAGCTTTGCTTGTTAAACTTTTCACCTCTGCGAGCTCTTAGCCCTCACCGTGTTAAGGCCCCCCTCCCTTCCTCCCTCTCCATCCCTCCATCCCTCCATCTATCGCTTCCTTGCTCCTTCCGCCTGGTAGAATTTGAATGTGAATGCTGGCCGTGGTCCCCATTGCAGGCTTAGCACAGGGGGCAGGCAGCTGCCCCTCCACGCCCAACCACCCCCTGGGCCGTCTGCTCTCGCTCTCTCTGCCTCCCTCCTTGTCTCTCTCTCTCTTTCTCTCTCTCTGGGGGTCACAGGTTCAACCACAGGCCGGTGCCTGGAGGGATGGCCACAGGAAGATAACGCACATGAAGGGCACTGGGGGAGAAAGGGAGGGACCGAAAGAGAGAGGCATACCCAAGCAGTTTGTATATATTAAACAAAAAGGAAGAAATTGGAAAAAGGTGATGGTGTAGAGGCGAAGATCTCTCGCTTTCTCAGAACACGGCGTGAGAAAGTGATGAGACATGAGAGAGGTGTGTCAAGGGACAATGTGAAGCAGAACCTAAGGAAGTCATTTAAATCATACAAACTTACTACTTTCTGGATGTTGTGACATAGTTGACAGTATCTACAGGAAATGTTCCAGACCGCCACTTTCTTTGGTTTTACACCTGCATACTAATAGTATGTACAACTTGTACAACTAACTAGCTGTGTATGTATAGTATATAAATAATTTCATCTTAGACACACTTGATGTTGCTACAGGTACTGGTGAGAAGATGAAATACGATTTTAAAGTCATGAAGTTATTCACTTTACACAAGTACCTTCCAGGAATGTGCACTTTGATTTGTTAACACAGTGAACTGCCAATGAGGTCACAGTGTGTGAAGGCAAAAGTTGAGCCAGGTTAAACTTTTATGCGGGTTGATAAATTTATTTTAATATTTATTTTTGGTTTTAATTATTTAATTGTATTTTAAATGTCCTTTTAAAGCTCTTTGGTCAACACCTGTTGTTTTTTAAATGTGCTCTTTAAATACAATTGACTTGACTGGAGTCCTCTGTGTCGGCACCCCCATTGTGTCAAAGCGATGGTCTCATTGAAATGAATAGGAGACTTTCATGCAGTGCTAATGTCAGCCTGAATACGGCCTAACAACCACATAAATGAATCTTCAAATACATTACTACATGCTACCTGCACAGACACACACTATAGTGAATTTCACATGCATTTATAACTGTGTATACAACTGCCCTGTTAACTTCTACAGTCACTTTCATTAAGAAGTTAAAGTTATATATATATTTTTAATGAATGAAATCACCATTTTATTATTATTATTATTATTATTATTATTATTATTATAAGTTGAAATGAACAATTATGTCTTGTAGTTTTGTAGTGGCAGTGTGGAACACATTTAAAGTACTCACAAGCTGATCCAGATATTTTGATGCTGGAAAAACTAAAATAATATAAAATAAGAACAACTGTGACCCACAACATTATGATTTTCATGAGTGCCGCAAAAATAGCCTAATTTGTTGGGGAAACAGCACGCAGTCAGCAGTTGAGTTTGCAATGTGAGTAGGTTTGAGTTGGATGGATGAGCACTTGCATAGCACTTACATGCCGTTGACGGGAGGGGATTTTGGGTCAGTCTGAGTTTTTGTTTGTTGTCAGGAAACCTTTTCACACAGTTCTCCCCTATCCTGGTCTCACCACACACATGCACACACTCTCACAGACAGTCACACACTTTCACATGAGCAGACCGACTAAACTCACTTTCATAAATCTCTGATCATTTGGCCAGACGCTGAGCGAGCTGATTAGCTGGTGCATGCCCGAACTGCCAAGTCTGCTTAAAAGGGCACCGAGTGGGCACGACATGGGCACCCCACAAAGCTCTGTGTGTGTGTGTGTGTGTGTGTGTGTGTGTGTGTGTGTGTGTGTGTGTGTGTGTGTGTGTGTGTGTGTGTGTGTGTGTGTGTGTGTGTTTATGCTCACTAGAGCTGGAATAATCAGCAACTATTCTCATAATCAATTAATCATTATTTCTCAAGCAAAAATGCCAAAAAGTTTTCTAGTTCCACCTTCTCAAATGTCAGAATTTTCTGCATTTAAAGGTCTTACATCACAAAAAGCTGAATAAAACTTGCAGTGCAATGTGGCAATCATATATGTAGGGTGGCGTGTGGATATATGTGTATGTATATAGGTATTTAAATTTGTGTATATGTGTTTATATGAATATATGTTGAGCTAAAGTTTATAATTTAACTGACAAGAAGCAGAGAAGGGGTAGAAATAAATAAGTGTATATTTACTCCTATTTCTTTGTAAGATTTAATCATGTGTTGTTTATGAGGACTTATTCACTGAGTTTGTGTATAAGGTTATTATTGTCTTGATTTTTGTTTTCTTTTTTATGTTTTAAATTTAATTATTAATTTTCATTTAATTATTAGTTTCCGTCTTTAGTTTTTTCAGTTTGTTAAATATATATCCGGCGGTCTGATCTTCAACATTATCTGCTTGTGAGCTCCATTACATACTGTAATTACACATTATCTTGATCGAATCTGTCATGTTGGAAGTATGATTTTCTTGACAGGGTTTTCAAATTAAAGGTTCAGAGAGAAGAACAATAAAATCAGAGAAATGTTTGGACATGGAACTACTAAAACTGTGTAGTTTTTGGGGTATTTTCCCCTTAATTTCAATGGTAGACAGTAGACAGGGGTTGGGGGGAGAGGGAGGAGAGATTGACATGCAAGAAAGGTGATGTAAAATATTTAGTCTGTGTTAATGCTTTTCATGTTGTGTACTTTCCAGATGCTGAGAGAGGGAAAAGAGGTATACGATGAGAACATCCACTATCCTCTCCTCATCACCTTGACCAAAGGACCTCAACCTGTCAGCCACACTCAGTAAACCAAAACAAGTGAGCCCTCAGTTCCACGCACTACCACTCCACATGCGTTTGGATGTTTGAGATGGATTGAGCCTACAGAGTCATGTCATCAATGTGATCCATGAGTGATCAAAGTGAGGAGGAAGAATTGCACTGAAAGAGCAGTATTAAGCTACGGTAGAGTAGGGTTTGTTGCAAAGTTTAGTCAGATTGGCACAGAGCGAATCTAGTTGTGGTCATATTGGAGACATTTTTCATATTGATACTGGCCACTGAGAGGGTTTATTATCAGATGGTGCATGGCTTTGGACAATATTTGAGCGTGCATGTTTTGTAGTTTGAAGTGTTTGTGGGGAACAACCTCATTTCCAAAGCAGTGGGGATACTTTCACTGCAGCTGAGGAGAAAGAAAAGGAGAGGCAGATTTATTCTGACCTACTATGTTTTAACCATCTGCCATATGCCAAATAACTACTGTCAGTCTCCAAAATAGTCAGTCGGTCAAACCGTTTGACCTAACACTTCATTATCACAATCATTAATCAATCAGTCAACTAAGCTAGTTATCCCTTTGGATAATCAAGCATCCACAAAAGTCAACCACATTGCCAAACAGTCCTCTGGACAGCCAGATAGATAACCAGTCAGTATTCAGTTATCTAATATGGCTGGTTAATTATCCATTTATCCAGTTATCATTAAAGCTAACAAGCCAATTAGTTTATTCAGTTAACTACTACTATTAATTTATTATTATTATATAATTAATAACTGTTCAGTCAGTGAGTTTCATGGGCATTTCCTCCGTCAGTCCTACTGTAGGTGTCAGTTATTCTTTCTGTTGGCTCTTTTTAACTGTCAGTATTAACCTATGCCACTGTGTTTCTGGCCCCAGCATGGAGGCCAGCTCTAATTCATTCACTATCACAGACTGTGGAGCAACTCACAGTTTCCTGTGCGTTTCCTTTCTTTCTTTGTTCCCTTCCTCCCCCACTTTAATTTCTTCTAATAGAACTTATTCATCCCAGTCAGAGGTCAGTTTTAATAACTTCTTTTGTGCGTTACTTACAACAGTGCATTAATACATTAAGGTGCTTTCAGACTCAGCAGTTGTTGCTGCCCAGGAACTACACCTAGCATATTCCACAGCAACATCGCCACAGATACAAGTAATACACTGTATGTCACATAATGTCATTTTATTTATTACACAGCTCTGTTGGTGTTATAATCTGTGAACTGTACAACATGTTCTGACTCTCCAATCCCACCAACATCACCACCGCCTCCTGCTTTACTGCTAGTTTGTTAAAAAGTTGCTACTGATGGATTTCCAAAACAAAACGCAGCTCCATTTTGTCTGCTGTCATGACTGCTCCAGGTCGCACTGACAGCGATGGATTTCAAAGATAACTGGGGCTGGCGAGTCTATTTGAGTCGCCAGCTGAATCCTACGTCACTTCATTCGCAAACATTTTGCGCTTTCAAAGCTTAAAATGAGTCATCAGACTGGCAACAATCAGATCCTGTGGCAGCTCCTAGTCTGAAACCACCTTCAGGAAGTGCTTGTGTCTAAAGTGAGACAGAAAGAGAGAGAGACTACAATGACTCCTTCTCACATTTATTGACAAGTGACCCAAATACTGTGGAATAGATAGAAAAAGTCATATGCTATTAATACAGAGCAGGATTTCTTTGCGTCTTTTTTTCTTCTTCTTTTCTTTTTTCCCCTGTGTCTACCCCCAATGTCCACTGGTTGCAGACAGTCTGCTGCCAACTCCAAGTTCAGGGCCTATTTGTGCTGGGACTGCTGTTGTCTCTGAAGTGCAACATTTACATTTGAATGTATGTACTGCCTACATAATGACAGTTGACAGGAACATTCATATTTAATGTTGTCTTAATTTGTTATTGATATGTCTTTCTGTTCATTTATGTCACCTCTCCAGTTAAGTCTGAAAAGCAGGAGAAGGAATGTTTCAGTTTTAATTCTGCTAATATACACTACTCAGATAGATACAAAGATGGCATGCACTCCATAACTCAAAGTGTTACTCCAATGATCATAACTGAGCTGCACTTGTGTTTGTGTGTATGCATGTAAAACACAAAAAATGTCAGCCAAACCACTCAAAACAATATTTGAATATTATATTCATTTTATATTTGGCTGCTTGAACAGGAACACTGTGCAGCCACATCCAGTGGACATTCGGGGTTAGAAGATTTTTCAAATGGATCAAATATGTGCAAACATAGTTCTTGAAAGTCACACAATGTCCTAATAGCTTCAAGCGAAAAATGTTCACACATTCAGACCATGCTCCTCTATTTTCTGTTGGCATTTCTTTTTTTTATCAGCACAATTAACTGCTTCACTCAGGTCTTTCCAATGCATTCAGCTGTTCCCTGTTTTCCTGAAGTGTCAGTGGGTCACTCAAGCCTAAAGTTGTACCTATCTATCACAAGTAAGGTGTTTCCATATTTCACTGTGATCCATTGCTGTATACAACAGCCAAGAAGCTATGCAGTATCTCTCAGTGGCTGCTGTTTACATTCCTCATGTTGAAATGGAATAATCCACCTTCAGAAATAAGAGGTATTCCCTGTGTGTAACTACTCAGAAAAGTAAATTAAGCCAGTTTTATCAGTGGTCTCAATGCTTTGAGGACTTAAATTGCATTGCAAAAATGTTCCCATTGCAAAGGGTTTAGAAGTATATTTAATTACATTTTTATCTGTAATGCAGCTTTCTGTATACCTTTGATATCTGTGGGCTAACACAGAAACACCACCAGTAAAGTGACTTCATCACTGTCTAGTGACATCACCACCACTAACAGTGATGTAATTTTACAACACACTGTTTACTGTGACATCCATGCTGCTTCTTCCAACGTCACTGCCTCTATTTATGGCAAAAAAAAAGAGAAAAAAAAAGAAACTTGACACACCCTTGTGCCCTCTGCTGTGATGTCACGTTTTCACAAGTGATATCATCACTTCTTGTTGTGATATTAGTGCTGTGTGCTTGGACAGTTACCACCTCTCACTGTGACATCGACAGACAGAAACAACTCATAGTCGGTATTATTCAGAGAAGGTTGTGTGGTCTTTATTTGGATTTATTAATAACATTAATAGTGAGAAATCCAACAGTTGTTATAGGCCACAGACGAGGATCTTGCTGCTGAGAATTGGGCAAACATCATACAGGAATGCTCTAATGCTCCAAATAGAATAATGTCACTGTGTTGTGGGATGTCTCAGCTATGCTTATTTTGATTATAAAACTGAATTCTTGGAATTGTTTTGCAGGCCATGTCCACACTAAGTCAGATTGATTTCGAATTGGATCAATTTTTTTTTATTTGGGCCTTCTTTCTACACTCAAAAAGTTTAAGCTGCTTCTGCTGCATTTCACTGTGTAGGGACACCGGACAGTTTCAAAAATATTAATGTACAATTATCATGTGATTTGGTGTAAAAGGTCTGGTTCAAGTTTTCTGTGCATGGTGTTATAGAGTGGCTTATAGCTTTTTAATTTTAATATTGTTTTTGGGTTTGACACAAACATAAAACTGTTCACTTCAATGAAATATTCCAATGTATCCACTTTAGTGTGGACATGGCCTCACATAGTGAGTTTGTCTGTTCAGTAGGCCTATATCAAATTTCCTCTGCTTCACTGTAATCAATGCTGTACTTGCAGTCTAAGGATGAGTGATTTTTTTTGTGAACAAATAAAAATAAAAACATTTTCTTCAAGATATGACTTTTTTTCTTTTTCAATGAACAACGGACAATTTCATACATCAGCTGTAGCTAGGGTGTTATTTAATTAATAAAACCCTGCTCATAATTGAAATTTGTATTGTATTTAATTATTACAAAATAAATATTACCTCAACATTTTAGTATCACAAAAACAAAGACAATATTCTGTCACCTTGCAGATGTGTATAGATTATCAGATTTTTTTCTGTCATGATTAATATATTTTTACTTACTAATTTTAATGGTTATCATGTGGAGACAGCTGACAAAGCTGCTTGTGAAAAAAAATGTGTGTGTTCCATTATTAAATCCAGTGTTAACAGATGTAATAAAGTTTCCTTCAGGCCCAGATCGGCCATGGCCTGTGTTTCAAACACAATGGTCTCCTGCAGGCTAAGCTGGTGCCAGACAAGGTAACACACACACACACACACACACACACACACACACACACACACACACACACACACACACACACACACACATATCAAGCCTAGTCAACAGTCTACTCCTCCACAGGAAGAAAAGAGAGAGGGATAAAGGAGGGAGGGAAGGTAGTGCATAGCAGCTAATCCTGCAGGCTCACTCTTCTGTTTATCAGTCAGAAGGAGGGAGGGAGAGTTAGCAGAAAGGGAGGGACCAGCGAGGCCTCCTGATCTGTCTTTTGATATTTTAAAAGGGCTGTTCTCTCCTCCCCAACACTCTGCCGGAGAGACAGAGAAGAGATAGAAAACGCTGCATACAGAGGAAAGACACAGAAAGGCTGAAAAAGACAAGAAGGCAGGGGAGGAAGAGAGAAAAGAAATGGGACAAGACACGCCGAATGGCTGGAAGGAAAGGGGAAGTGAGACAGCTGGAAATGAGGTGAAAGTAGATCGAAACAGAGGGGGAAAAAGCTTCAGCCGTGAAAGAAAAGAGAAGCTGACTGAGAGACTGAGATTGACTGGCCAAGTGAGTGATCGAACAGAGAAAAAGAGAGAGACAGAGTGCTCCCGGCTCGACACAAGGGCCCCATTAACTTGACCACTTGCCCTTTGCACACAAAGGCAGGGCCGGCCCACTGCCCCTCCCACCCAATTATCCACGATTAGGCTCAGTGCACTGTGTCAAGATGGAGAGGGAAGGAAAAGAGGAGAGGGGGAGAAAGGCGAGCACAGGGAGGAGGAAGAAGGGGACAGAGGGAGTAAAAGATAGAGAGCAAGGACTGGAATGATGTGAGGAGTGGTTGATGAAGGATGACAAAATTGTTGTTAACATGTAAGGGATTTAAATGTTTGATTTAGCACCCTCAATGCAAATGAGTGTCCCCTGGAAACTTCCACTACTATGATTTGAAACTTATCTGTATTTGCTTGTTTTCCTATTTTCAGTGTGTTTCTGTACATCATGTATGTGTTTCTGTTTGCTTTTCTTTGATCCATTAGCAGATTTTCCCTCGAAATTAAATATATGTGTTGTCATTTGCTTGTGTTTTCTTAAATCACCTATAATGATTCAGTTTTTGGCCACTGAGGGGCGGCAGAATAAGCTACAACATAATATTATATTATAAAGTTATGTTGAACATTCCAGCAAACACTTGTCTAGTTACACATTCAGGTGAAACAGGGCAACATTAGCATTTGAAGTCATGTTTCTCACCTGTCACTCTTAGCTCAGCTGTTTTTGTCTTCACCAACTTCTGTGAGAAATATCTGGCTGATTAGCAGCTAAATGCTCCACTATGTTCACCAGCTAGTTGTTAACTGTCCGATGTTGGGTGGGTTGTGAGTAGTGGGTTTACCAGAGCTTTGTTGCTGAAAACAGCTGCTTTATTGAACCTAAACTGTAATGTTATGGGCTGTTAAACCAAAACAATTAGCTGAAAGACTAAAAAGCTTAATAGAGCTGACCGGGACCTTGCACATTAAACATACAGTAGTCATTGATCCACTGTTGCATTAAACTTTCTTGGTCACCATAAATTAGTGCATGTATGCAAGTGTGTAGGGTGCAATAAGGGTACAAATGTATGAACCTTTTAGCAACCAACATGGTGACCCCCCTCCCCCCACACACACAAAACAGTCGCACAAACATCGCCCTCAGTGACACAATATCCACTGTCCAACGAAACCCACCAACCGATACAGCGCACCTACCCCCTCACACTATGCAGCGTAGACACACACATGTGAAGGCCGATACAGCAACATGCAAACAGCTCCGACATAAGAACACACACACACACACACACACACACACACACACACACACACACACAAACACACACAGACAAATAGACAAATCTACTTCACAACACTCACCATGGGCTCAGCTGCAGTCCAGCCATGTTTTGTCGTGTTGTGCTTTGATGATATTCTGCCGCCAGCTAGCTGGCATCCCCAGGGCCTTGGACTGGTTGCCACTGCAGCATGGCACACGAAAAACAGACACACATGGAAAACAGACACACACATACTGTATATCGGTACAGTCTATGACTAGCATTTTGGTGCCACAATGCCTGCAGCTCTCCAAAAAGACTTAACTCGTCTTAATTTTCATTTTTGAAGCACAAGGTCAAAGAGAGTGGTATTTAATTTTATCTGTTCAGCCTTTGTATTTTATTTAATTTACTTTCATTTCACAACACTCACAATTTTCATGCCATTGTTTTACATTTTCTAAGTAATTCAGACACTTTATAGCCATGGCCTGCAAATTAACCAAGAACATGTTTATGTTTTGTATGCCTTTTTACCTCAGAACATTTGGCTTTTTGACTAAAAACATCTTAAAATTCACTACTTTGGCCAAAAACTGTCTAGATAGCATATTCAGGCATGCACATACACTTTTTCTCACACTCAGTGAGATACAGATGGTGTGTGCCAGGTAGGCTCAGGTGGTCACCTCCACCTGACTGTTTGACCTGCACACTTTGAACCACAACCATGGACTAAAATGAGCCATATGTTCGGTGTATATATTATGTGTGTGTGAGCGTACAGTGTGTGCATCTGACAGGCCAACATGTTTACCCGTCCCCTGCTCTATTTTGTACCCCCCTCCCCTCCTCACCACTTCGTCCATCTCCCAAAATCTCTCAAAACCTTTCAAGCCTTTTCCTCTCTCTTCTCCTCCTCAAGGCAATTTGAGGAGGGCTTTTTAAATGATCCGCTCATTATCGGTAGTGGAGTCACTTTGGTTTTTCAGCTCCGTCTGCTTGCCTTCCTGCTTCCTCCCCCCTCCTTCTCCTCTTTATCTCTCCCTGTTTTTTAAGGGTTTTTTCTGCTTGCCCCCACCCCTCCACTCTCACCCCCTCCCACTTCTCCCTCCAGAATGGCTTTTTGGTCCGTTTGTTTGTGCTCATGAAGTGGAATGCAGCAAAGTCCCTGAGAGCATTTTTTCTTTTTTCCTTTTTTTTTTTTTTTCAAATTTAGAAAGCCATCGACTATGAGTTGACGTGGAAGAGTGGGAGCTACCCCCACCTCCCACACGCACACACAAACACACACCACATTCACAACCCTCCTTGTACGCACACCTGATGCCGGCCTTGACGACAATAATGTTTTCCATTACAGGAGACAGAATTGGGAAATATGTGGAGGTGAAATTCTGTGGTATTAATGTAGTCACTTGGAGCAGGGGGGGGATAGGATATTGTCTATACAGAGTGGGAAATGTGTGTTTATTATTGTGTATCTTTTTAAAAAATTGCTTTTGTCACTCGTATACACATTTAACAGTAGTAAACACACAAACTGAATTGTGCGTCGGCTCCCATCTGTTCTTTCAGAGGCTTGCCTGGCTCTGTAGGCTGCTTGTAGTTATCCCAATTCACCTGTTCAGCCCCTCCATCTCTAATACCCATTAAACCTCTCCATCTGGATATGCAGGAGGCTAAGTTCACTGACTGACTTATTTGCTGACTGACTGGAGCGAGTTGAGGTCAGTCTGGAGGCTGGCAATATATACGCACACACACATGCACATTCACACAGTACAGTGATGCTTACACATGAGCTTATAGCAATGGGCTAATTAAGGGGGCTGTGCTGTTGACGAAAGCACTCAACTTATCGCTGATTAGGTCAGGCTGGGTGGACGTGAAAGACACGGAGAGAGAAAGAAGGAAACAGACTGCCAGACATATAGAACGACACAAGTGGTTTGTGTTGGTTGAGAGTCCTTCCTATAAATGTTGACAGTCTCTTTTGGCAGTGTTTACCCTACTTTTTAATGGCAGAGGGCTGACATCAGCCACTGTAGGAGCCGCGCTGAATTAACACCTGCCTCTCTGCATACAAGCAGCTCCTTTCTGTGCCATTGTTTGCCTGTGACTTTGTCAGGCAGTTAATCAGTGAGGCCATCAATCAGTCTGTGAAACAGCTACTTTGTCAGCGAGCCACCAAATCTTGACATTTAATGAGCAAGACAACCAATTAGTAAATTCAGCAGACTTACTCTAGCACAGCATACATTATGTGGTGTCATTAACATGTTAGAGCTTAGTCCCGTGGGTTCAAGAAAACGAATCAGTTGTAAAAATCAGTCGTGAAAATTTAAAGGGCACAACTCCAGTGACTTCTTGTCCACTTTCAGTATGAATAGCTTGTCTGTCATATCTTGGCAAACCTTCATATATGATATTACCTTCCTGTGTACCCACCTGTCAGCCTCCTCACCTTGTTCTCTTTCCATCTATTTTTCTCCTCTTCTTTCCTCCTCTTCTTCCCTCCTCTCTCCTGCCCCCTCTTCTCTTTGGCCTATGTGCCTGTGGTCACCAGGGCAACAGCTCTAACCTGCTGACCCATGTTCCCGTGGGCCAGGGGGCCATTAGGGGCCAGTCAACAAGCCTCTCTTCCTGCCACAAGTGGTGCTGGCGGGATGGAGAGGGTCCTCGTCTCTGCTTTGAAGGTCAACGAGGCCGCAGCCCGGCACTCTGCCGGTGACTCTTAGGCCCCCCAGACCAGCACAGCAAAGTAGAGCTTTGGAACGAAGGT